CACCTCAGTCTCAAGGTAGGCGGCGGAGAGGCGCGCTGCGGATCCGCGGAGCGAGCGGGGCGGCGAGTCAGGCACTGGTGGGCCGGCCCGGGCGCGGGGACACGTGGAGGGGCTTTTCCCGGACGGAGTCGGCTCCTTGGACCATTAGCCTTCCCCGCATCTGCGGGGCCCTAACCCCCATCATCCCCAGCTGAACCCCTTCAGGCTGGTGCAACCCTGTTCATCATCCTTGGCTGGATTCCTTTAGGACGGTTGTACCCCAGCCATCGTCATCCCCGGCCTGGAATCCCTTAAGGCTATTCCGTCCCATCATCCCCAGCTGGAATCCTTCAGCTGTCCCACTCCCATCATCCCCAGCCTGGAGTCTGTTAGAGCTGTTGCACCCCAGCTTCCATCATCCCCAGCCTGGAATCCCTTGAGGCTGTTCAGTTCCATCACCCCCAGCTGGAATCCTTCAGGCTGTCCCACTCCAGTCCCATCATCCCCAACCTGGAATCCGTTAGAGCTCTTTCACCTCAGCTTCCATCATCCCCAGCCTGGAATCCCTTAGAGCCTTTGCACCCCAGGTTCCGTCATCCGCAGCCAGGAGCCACCCAGTGCTTTTTAGGGATGTGCCCCAGCAACCCCAGTTCTGGGGTGTGGCAGTGGCTTCCCACTGGTGATGCCATCTGGGGTGGTGAGGTTTAATCCTACAAACAGGGAGGCCACCAGATTGGGCTGTGGAATCACTCAACCCGGAGCAAAGTGCCAAAGTGGGCGAACGTAGTGCTGGAGTCTAGTTGAAGTGTTTGAGATCAGAAGATACAATATGGTGCTTAAAACTGCCCCAACTGGAATTCTGCAGATGTTTGGGCCCTGCAGGACTGTTTTGTACTTGAAAGACACCGAGGATGTTGAGCTGTTAGTGCAAACCGGCTTTGATTATTATTTTTTCCCTTATTTTTTACTAAAATATAATAGATCCATATATCCCTTTACCCTATAGCCCAGTGTTTCTCAGCCTCAGCCACTTTAAGGTGTGTGGACTTCAACTCCCAGAACTCCCCAGCCAGCATGCTGGGAGTTGAAGTCCACACACCTTAAAGTGGCTGAGGCTGAGAAACACTGCTATAGCCAATCCAGTATTTCTTAAAGTGTGGTCCTAAAACCCCTGGGGGTCCCCCAAGACCCTCTTAGGGTCTGCAAAATCAAAATTTTTTCCAGCCTATGTTGAAAATTAATACAATATTAAAATCCCATTTAAACAGTCATGAGATGATGTAGTGGCAGTGAATGTGTCAATTTAAATTTTTAATACTGTAAATATTGATAAATATAACCCATACAAACAAAAGCTCTTTTGGGGTCCTCCATAATTTTTAAAAGTGAGAAGGGATCCTGAGAGAAAAATGTTTAAGAAACATTGGCCTAGTCAACTCTTTCCATTTCTTTGGCCCTTAGCCTAAGCTCACTTTCTTGCATAAAACTGCATATTTCGTTACAACATGTTTATATGTAAGGGCAAATAAATATGATAGGTCCTTTTATTGCATCTTAATTAGAACTGCAGTGCATCCTATAATAGTAATGAAAGCTGTGCCCAACTAGCTTCTGCACCCTCACCCTTTTTTGGATTGCTCCAGCACTCTTTATGTACTTTTTCCTAATGGTTTCAGATTAGATTGATATGTAACGTTGCATGTGTGGCTATGCTCTTTAGGGATTTGGAAACTTGGCCTGACAAGACTTTTATCCAGCATAACTGCCAATTTCTCGTCAATCTCTTTGAGGAACTATATTTTTCCTTCTCCTTGACATTGCAAGACCTTGGTCATGAATCTTGTTTGATACCTAATGATACCTTTGTCCTTATTAGAGGGTAATATACAAGAAGATTACAGGTAATCTTTGACTTATGACCATTCATTTAGTGACTGTTTGAAGTTATGACAACACTGAAAAAAGTGGCTGACTGGTCCTTGCGCTTAGGAAGGTCGCAGTGTCCCCACAGTCACATGATTGTGGTCTGGGTGCTTGGCACCTGGTTTGCATTTTATGACAGTTGCAGTGTCCTGGGGTCACCTGATCACCTTTTGTGATCTTCCCAGCTGGCTTCTGACAAGCAAAGTCAGAATGGGGAAGCTTAACAACTGTGGTGATTTGCTTAACAATTGCAGCAAAGTTGTAAAATCGAGTGCAGTCACATAATGCCTTGCTTAATGACCACACTGCTTAACAATGAATTTTCCAGTCCCAATTGTGGTCGTAAGTCGAGGACTACCTGTATGGCTGTCTTGGAACTACATGCTCACGTTGCATGCTACTGTACTCCATGAGGTGGTGTGGCTATTAGAAAAGCCTCAGACTATGGTTATAGTTTCATGGGGTGAACTAATGGCATTTGTGATAGAATTCAGTGATGTTGTTTAGCATGTCACACAGACATGCTCTCAGTAAAGCAGAGAGGCAGAACTTGTAACTGCATCCTGGCTGAGACTTTTGATGTCCATAGTTCAAGGCTGTAGAGGACATCCAGCATCCTAATCTTGAAGAAATAAATCTTGGAATTAAAAGGGGAAAAAAACACCCAACAGATCATACCACAACCCAAAATAGTTGAATTAATAGGAACCTTATTTACTAGCAAGACCTCTGCGGAAACAAAACAACCAGCACCAGTTGAATCCACCAACTTCATATGACTTCTTTAAAAGTCAGATTTTGGCAGGCCTCCAGGAAGGAGTAATTTTTAAATTATTACTTAGAAAATGTTTCGAGTAAAAGTCTAGCCAGAGCAGGTAGAGCAAGGCTGTAGAAGTTGAGCAAAATACATAAGTGGAAATATTCAGGGTGAGTAATGTTTGTCAGTGCTATATTTATTTATGTGTGTCACACTGCTTACTTCTTGTGACTTTACTTTTATTTCTAGCTCAGAATTAAGTTGATCAGCTACTGTTATTTAGCTGGTAATTTCTTATTGAACCGTGTTTGAAATCCTCGAACTGGAAAAGTTCTAAGCAGACATCAACTTCCTGTTTCTTTTTCCTAGGATTCAGGTTGCCCTTACTTGATAACCACATTTCTCAGAAAATATCTGTATGTCATTTTCTGGAAGAAAAGTAAGCACCCCAAATGTTAAGGTTGTTTTTTTTAAAAAAATGCATTAGTGACAATGTTTATAATATCTTTTTTTTTTTTCACCCATTGAGGCTTAACATTGCAATTGAAGATACAATTTATTATCTTTTATTTTGGTCCAAAACCTCCAGTAAGGCTTTGCAAACACTGGCCCGAACTCTTAATCCTACAGTATATAACTTCAACATTGCTATTGTTGCTGGGGAAAAAAAAAAACAGAAGCCAGGTTGGTATGTCACCATGTTTTGTTGTGATGAGATGACAGCATTGTGAAATGTTCCTTCCTTCTCTGAACTGCAACAACATTTTTTTGTGTGTGTTAGACTAAACTGTTTCTTTGAAAACACTGGAATTTCCCAGATATATTGTAGTGTAATTTTGCAACGATTCTTGGTTTCGTTAGGAATATAAGAGGTGACTTTGTCCTTTGTGGGAATTGGTGTGTTAGAAAGATCTTCAGCCCTAGAAAACAGCGCTACACCCACTTTACTCCATGATACTTACTCAGCATCTAACATTTATTCACAGACTTTTCTGAATAAGTATAAACAGAATCCAATTGTACTTGTGAAGTTAGGAATTTATATTGCACTGATAAGAAGCTAAAAAGAGTCCTGCAGGATCGAGACAGCCATTCAGTGCCACCCAGTGTGCAACCAGATGTCAGGGAGCTTGTAAACCTGGATGGGTTTCTTCGCTTTTGCAGGTAGCCCTGATGTTATCCCAGGAACTCTGGAGGCCCTAGCCTGGCACGCAGTTTTGCCCAATAAACACACCAGGGTGGAGATAATAAAGTATTTATTCTGCACAGAGTAAGCTGCTTAGGAATAATTTCCGGTGCAGGCACACCTATTGTCAATCGACACAACTTTTATACATTCTTGAGACAAAGAACTACACGATCATTGGCAGATGGTAATTATTCACACGCTTGGGTGGGCAAAACACTCCCAGAAGATGGGCGCTGCTGCCCAAAGGTGAGTGCTTGTTGATAAGGAAGCTAGGTGGTTTCTTATCCCTTTGCTTGTTAGCACAGGTGAGCATAGCTGGTTTCTCCTGGGGAGAGGTTTCATTGTACTGGCCCTTCTCAACTCTAGCTGATAAGAAAAGCGGTATTTAACGAGGAAGGAAATTGGACGGGTTTGCAATTTAATTATTTGCTCTGTTCCCATCAGCTAGCGAAGATCAGTTCTGGGCCGTACATAATGTTTCTGCTGCCTTCTTCAAATTAACCCTAAAATCACCATTCCATCACTGATCCTCCATGTATTTGCCTAGTTCCATTCTGAAGCCATCTGAGATGTTGACCATCCCCCTACATCTGATGGCGGTGAATCTCAGAGTTTAAGCATCTCTTCATAGTACAGTAATTTTATCAAGTTAAATTTTATCTTAGAGGGAGAAAAGGGTTCTCCATGACCAGATTTTCTGCCTCCTACATAACTTTATGCTTCTCTGTCATATATCCCTTATCTACAATTGCACTAAGCTAGGGTTCTCTGATGTCCAGCAAAAGGAGGACATGACCTCCTTTTGTCTTCTGTCCATTAGGCACAACCTTGAAATCAAATATTGTCCAGGTTTTTGAGTGTCTTGTTTTTGTTTTAAATGTGGACTCTTTTCATAACAGTAGTCATTCAAATTTTCATGCACTGTGATTTTGTAAATCGTCTGCTTTCTTTCTTTCCCTCCTCTGCTGACCAACTCGACAGCCTAGATTTACATTATTTGAGTTCCTGATTCCAGCAATCAGCTTCCATCCAGCCCCTTCAAATGGTCACTGTGGTTCTGTAGATCTCATGACTGTTTCTTTGGTTAAATTTGAAAAGCGCATCATCGTTCTATTATTGCTAGCCTATGTTCCTGAAGATAAACATTTATTGGTGATTGGAAAAACCAGTCTTTTTGAGGCTGGAAAAAGTAATTTCATATACACGTAGGCCTAAATACTGTATATTTTTTTGCTGTAATTTTTGTTGTAGATGCCAAGAAACTTAAACAGTTGTCCTCCTTTCCTCCCATGTGTCCTCCTTTCCAATTGTCTGGGTTCTCCTTTGCCTGTTCAGTTATTTGATAACCCTCCTAAGCTAAAAAGACACAGGCACTGTTGTTTGTCAGTCATCTCTGATTCGGTCATCTGTCAGTAACTCCTTCTTTGTCTTCTTGAAGCACCTACTGGTCTCATTGGCGATCAAATCTGGTTTACCTTTTCTACTAGCATCTTTCTTTATTCCTTTCATTTTTTCCAAGTTTCATGTTCTCTCCAGTGACTCTTGTCTTTGTGTTAAGTATCCAGAGTGTTTAAGCTTTAGTTTCATTAGTGCTTCAGGGGAGAAGTCTGGTTTTACTTCAGGATTGAATGATGGGTTCTTCTTGCAGTCCAAGGTGTTCTCAGCAGTGTTCTCACTTCAAAGCATCTATCTTTTTTGTTCAGCCTTTCTGCCGGTCCAGCTTTCAAGGTCATATATTACAGCTGGAAAAACAGTGGCCTTGACAACATGTCTAGTTCTCATAGGTATTTGCTACTTGGGAGAAAAACTATGCACTTTATAGCTACAGTCACTTTCCCTGTAAAGGTTTGAGCCCAGGAAGATCTGTTCACCTTCACCTTCTAGTGTTGGTGTGGCCTGTTGACACCATCCTTTTTTTAAAAAATGGAAATATTGAGCAACATTGCACTCTGTTTTCTCATCTTCAGCAATTCCTGATTATAAATCCAAAATAGCTTTAGCTTCTTTGTTAGTGCTTCCAATCAGCTGTCTGGTTTTACTTCATCTAGTATTGAATGCTTTGTTGCTGTTGCTGTTCACCTTATGCTCAACCGTTTTCTCCAGCTCCCTATTAGAAAGGCGTCGCTATTTTTTCAGCTTCTCAGGAGATCCAGTTTGTGAACATCCATTTAGTTTTCTTGTCTGAATCCTGGAAGTGGTTTGCCAGAATCCTGGAAGTGTGGTTTGCCACTTCATTCTCTGGTATTTAGTCTGGTTCCTCATCTAAGACTTGCCCATCATGGTGACTCTTGGGGGAATGTGTGTTCCTAATGGCACAGGTCATGGGGATGCGCAAGCCTGTTCAACACTCCGTAGTAATAACTCAGGTTGCATGGGACCCAAGTCTCTCCCTCTTTGTCCCTTCAATGCAAGGTATCCTTGTGTGTTGTAGGATTGATACACCTTAATTTCCGTCGTCACATTCTTGGTCTACTGAACAAGCCTTCAGTTTCAAATAGAGACATATGTCATTGAGCACCAGCATCAAGTAATAGAAGCAAACTGTGCCTTGGAATATGTCCTATTTTTCCTTCTCTTCTTCCTTGACATCTAGGTTCTTCCTTCCCATCATGCTTATTTTCTTTGCTTATTACGTTAGAGGTTGCAAAATAACATGATGAATTCTAGGCATAACGAATCTACATTTGAAATACTAATACCACTCCATATTTTCCTTGCTCAGTTTTTTAAATATATCCAAATTCTGTGGGTGAGGTTAATCATGTGGCTGCAATCCACCTAATGTGAGGAACACTTACAATTTCATTTGATGGAACAATGGATGAGCTTAAATAGTTTCTGTTGGTCTTGCTTTAGTTATGTTTTTATTTCTCGATCTGCAGCTCATTGTCTGATGAATGGATTTCATTGTATGTTGCATTTCTTCTTGGTGAGTCACCTTGACTTTTTCTAAATAAAGGTGTGGTACATTTTCATGGAGGTGATTGGATTGGATTCAGCATTTTTTTTTTAAATAAAGCTTGATGGCTCATTAAGACTGGGTCATATTCCAAAAGTCATGTGTGGGGCCTGCGTGAAAACTAGTTTGGTTTCCATTTTGTCCTAAGTGTAATTGAATATTGTTTTCTGGGCACATCTTTAAGGATCTTCCTCTTTTGTTAGGTTGACATTTATAATTCATTAAATGCTTTTGAAGGACTCTGGAAGACAATCTTGAGGCTCAGGAAGCTCTGTTGTTACTTAGAATTAGCTCTAATAAGGATGAGTGGAGGGTGTCATAGTTCTGTCTCTCTGGCCCATTTTCTCCATAGTCTAATAACTTAGAAGCCCTACCAGAACTTAGACTTTGTTGAATGAGTCACTGATGAGAAGCCATGTACTCCAAACTCATTTTGCCAGATGGTGGCTCGTCAGGGGTCTTCTATCAACCTCATTCTGGCAGATTTCCTTTCCCTCAAAAGCACTTCTGGGTCTGCTGTTAGGAGTTTTGTGTCATTGTACGAGTAGGTGATCTAGTGTGCCTAATTATAATTGGCTCACAGATGGTCAGAGAGCAATATAGCTGATACTGTGACTTTCAAGCTTAATAAAATCCTTGCGATTCCTCTGTTTTGAGTCAAATCCTGCATCTCTCCATGGCCTTCTTAAGAAAAACCTGGGCACTGACATTGCACCCGAGAAAGTAAAGGTACAAGTGTTTATTTTGTTTTTAATGCTGCTCTTCCCTCCGAGCAGCCAGAAGCTCCCTTCTTTCCACCCCCTCAATTAACAAGGCTTCACGCTTTATGGATGCAAATATGTCTTTTTCCTGCCTTGCCCTGGTCTGTGTTTGCATTAGAATTGCTCTCCTGTACATTGCTAGTTATGTGAAATTATCCTTGTTGGCACGCGAAATAAGCTGTGCGCAACACAACGCCTAAGAGGGACTGCGTGTGCCCCCTGAGCAAAGCACAGTTTGTTGGATTTGTACCCCATCTTTTCATCAAGAGTTCGAGGCAGCCCCTTTGATTCCCCCCCCCCCAATCCTTGTGCCCTCTAGATGAGTTGGGACTTCCCCTCCCAGAATTCCCAGTCTGCAAATTGGGTGGCTGTTCTGCCTGGTAATTATGGACATTATAATCCCAACAGGGACCTGGTTTAAAGGGAGGCCATCTAGTCCTCTGCTACTGATGTGAAGCTGTGAGTGATGTATCTGGTAATTAACTGCTACCCCATAGGCTTCCCATATTTTCAATAATCTAAGAGGGGCAAAACACTGCCTCATCATGGCTCTGAAATTTTGAGGTGCTTTCCCCAGGAAGTCCCGCCTGGCCCCTCTTCTGATGTCAACTGTTGCTTCCTCAGGTCCTTCAACCTCGTCTTCCCCACCCCAATTATAGTTCTCATGTTTCTCAGCTTCCCTGGGTCCAAGGTCTGCACCATAACTCCTGTAACAAACAGCCAGCAAAGATTCAATCTGCCTGCACTCTTTTGCTCACAACACCAATTTCATTTACAGTGCACTGTAAATGCATCCGTTTCCTCTCTTCCAGAATGACATGCGACTGAAAGTCCACCTCAACACATTTGGCTTCTTTAAGGATGGGTTCATGAAGGTCACCATCAACTACCTCTTTGTGGGGGAGACTGACAAAAACATTCTGGTAAGTCTCTTTGGCCAAAAGTCTGTCACAGAAGTATTGAGGGGTTAATAAGAAAGACCCACACATTTAGATCCAACCTTGCTATGCCCCTAAGGGTGGCTTGTCTTCAAGAGCCACACGGATAAATATGCACGCTTCCTTGGTAAATTGGGTTTTAAATTTGCCTGTTGTTGTCTATTCCAAGCATCTAATGTAATTTTCTCATGTTAATAATGAATTATTCTTCCAATTTCAGTCCTGGGTCTCGATTTGCAACTCTAGACAGCTTACGACAATTCAAATAAACAAGACCCCCCCAAAAAAACCTGCTAAAGCATCAATTTAACATCTTTGGCATCCTTTTTCTTAAAATCTAACGTCTTGCAAAATAAATAGCAAAAATAGAGTAATTACAAACATTGCCCACAGCAGATAATCAGTTAAACTCTTTATAACACCACACAGATGTACCAAGGGGGCCGCATCGCAATTTCCTCTAGACCTGTTGGAAAAAACAGGTTTTCAAGGCTTTATGAAATAAA